AGGTTTTTACCTCGCGAGCCGGCCGGTGAAGGCAAGTCCCTCGTCCTTGGGTCCCACACAACATACACAGCGGTGCCATTTTTTTCTTTTCCGCTGTGGTCGTTGAAGTGTGGCCCAAGATTACGGTATATAACGGGTTTAGTGGATTAACCTTGGGTGCATCAGTTCCCGTACTACCATCTCACGGTGGTAGTAAGAGCGGATTTCGCTTGGATTTGAAGAAAGGCTACGTCCGAAGATTAGTACACAGTGTGCCTCCCCAAGAGGGTAGAAAAGAGGTAGTGGTAACAAAGTTACTCACCGAAAAGGAGTAGTGGGGCCGCTCTTAGCTTCACTTACTAGGCCCTCATACGACGTCGACGTGTCAGCAACTGATGAGGGAACCTAACCTTACCTTTTTTTTTTAGAGGGGTACTTCTTCAGCGCTTGATGTTATCTATGGGTACTGTCGGACTTTAACCGATTAAAACCCCGCCTCGACTCAAAATCAAAAATAATCAGCGAACATCTCATACCAGAATCACTTGCAGAAGAGCTAACATCAGTAATGAGACTGCTATCTACTCGTTTCGTCTCTCTTCTTCTTCCTTTGACGTCATGATTTTTGTTATCATCCTGCATATGAATTTCCATTTATTCTCCGTTTCCAACATAAGGGCTATCATGTTATCCTTCGTAACGGTGATGCCGAGTTCTGCTTCTACATTCCACCATAAAGCTCTTCAGAAATTTAAACGTACTCGTATGCAAACTGATTGGTTGCAATATAAGGATTTACGTAATTACTGTGTTGCTATGGTTCGACGGGAAAAGAAGGGTTACTTGGAGTTCGTTGCTTCTCAGAAAAATTACAAACAAACCTGGAAAGCTCTTGATACCCTTAATATTCGGTCAAGTAAAAATTATAATTTGCCCTCTGAGTTGGCTGACCCTAATATAATTAACAACTACTGTGCTTCATTTTTGCAAAATATATCGAATAAATGTGATGATCAAATAGAGTTTTATAATAATAATAGGATTGATCGTGATATTTCTTTTAAATTTTCCTTTACTACTGTAGATGAGGTTCACTCAATTCTTAATAGTATTAAAACTTGTGCATTTGGTATTGATAATATTTCTTCTACCATGTTGAAGTACTGTAGCCCTTTCATTGATCCTTTTGTTACTCATATTATTAATTGAGAGACAATACTTTCCTTATATGTGGAAACAGGCGATTGGTTTACCTTTACCTAAAAAGAATAACCCTACTTCTCTTTCCGATCTCAGAATAATCAGTATGTTACCGGCTCTCAAAAATTTTTGAAAAAATTTTATATAATCAAGTGTACAATTATTTTACGAGTAACAGACTTTTGCCTCAATCGCAATGTGGTTTCAGAAGGGGTAGTGGTACTTCGACTGCCCTAGTCACCGTCACTGATGACTTAATAAAGGCTCATGATATGGGTTTGGTTAACGTTTTGGCTTTATTGGATTTCTCTAAGTCCTTTGACACCATAAATCATAAGCTTTTATGTTCTAAACTCAAGTATTATGCATTTGATAATGATTCACTCACACTAATTAATTCTTATTTACATGGAAGGTCCCAGAGTATACGTGTTGATAATATTTTATCTACCAGTTTAGAAATTCTCTCTGGTGTTCCTCAGGGTTCGATTCTGGGTCCCCTGCTTTTCATAATTTATACTGCCAACATATTAGAATCTGTTCGTCAATGTAAACTTCAAGCATATGCCGATGATACTCAACTTTATTTTCATTTTAATATTAATGATTTTCGGCAGGCAAATGACGTCATCAACTCTGAGTTACAAACTATAAAATTGTTATCAGATGAGCATAATTTAAAATTGAACTCGAATAAGTCGAAAGTTTTGTTTTTTGGTAGTGAAAAAGATTTGCGAATTTTAAGACGTAATTTTGAGGTTATGATCGATGGTATTCCAGTTCCCATTACTAGCCATGCAAAAAATTTAGGAGTAATTCTTGACTGTAAGTTGCGTTTTGATGAGCATGTTAAATCATTAATACAAAAAGCTTATTCATCTCTTAGGTTGATTTATTGTAGTCGTCACGTTCTTAATAAAAAATTTAAAGTTATGTTGTGTGAGTCACTTGTTCTTTCCCATTTCAATTATTGTGACTACGTATATGGTCCTTGTCTTACTCAACAGGAGAAATACAGGATTCAAAAAGTACAAAATTCATGTTGTCGTCTTATTAGTGGTCTAAGAAAATATGACCATATATCTCATGTCATTGGGGAGATCAAGTGGCTCAACATGGATAATCGTAGGCGTCACCATCTTTGCAATTTTTTCCATAAGATTATCACTATTCCTTCTCATCATTCTTTAAAAACTAATTTTTTACAGCGTGGTAATGTTCATTCCAGAGATATTAGATTTAAAAACAAGTTCACGATGCCCCATCATAGAACTGCTTTTTTCAGAAGATGTTTTACATACAACGCTATTACATTTTATAACTCCCTTCCTGACGATTTCAAATTATTTAACATCAACAAATTTAAATATAAAGTTAAACTATATTTATTGAACAGGCAGCATTCTACGTAAATTGCTAACGTGATTCTTAATTTGATACTTAATTTTGTTGTGCTATTCATTTCTTTATTATTTTTTAAACAGTAATACTCGTACATATTTAAATACCTATTATGTTAAGATGTTTGTGT